AGATAAAATAGAAATAGAATAGAGAGTGCTAGTGTTAGAGTGTCAAGTTTGTTAAATAAAAAAAGAAAATGAGTAGATAAAATAGAAATAAATTCGAGAGTGTGTTAGAGGGTCACTTTTTAATAAATAAAAATAAAACAAGTAGATAAAATAGAAACAGAATAGAGAGTGCTAGTGTTAGAGTGTCAAGTTTTTTTAAATAAAAAAAGAAAGAGTAGATAAAATAGAAATAAATTAGAGAGTGTGTTAAAGGGTCACTTTTTTAATAAACAAAAATAAAACAAGTAGATAAAATAGAAATAGAATATAGATGTCAGGGATAGTCCAGTCTCGTCAGGCCATAGACTGTTGCTCTAACCCGTTTGCTCTCCATCTCTCTCTCTCTCAGCACCTGATAATAAAGATCCCTGTTTACTTTACCTCCACTTTACCTCCTTGGTCTCCTTCTGTACTGTGACATAAGACCAGACCTACCCCAAACTCTCCATGGAGCCACAACCACCGAACCCCCCATCACTGGAGGATTTAATCCAAGCCTTCCGTACACCCGTTGTGTCTGCCTCCCACAGTCCCATGGCACGGCCCGCTATCTTCTCCGGTGAGTTGGGCTCAGCCCTCAAATTGCTACCTTGACTAGAATGAATGTATCATTAATGTCATCTCACCAATCCCTTTCAGCGCAAGCCCTTGTAGACTCTGGTTCTTCGGGGAACTTTATATCCCGCAACACACTCCACCGCCTTCAACTACGACCACTGAAACATGCCCAAGTCCTCAATATCCTCACCATCCAGGGAAAGCCGTTGGGTCGTGGGAAGATCCAGCTATGCTCCCCCACCATCACGCTCCGCATTGGGTGCCTTCATGAGGAACTCATCTCTTTTCTGGTGCTGGAGAATTCCACAGCGGAGATCATCCTGGGACGCCCCTGGTTAACCCAACACGCACCCATCATTAACTGGACCACCAACGAAGTTATACACTGGAGTGAGTACTGTCGGCAGCACTGTATGTCCCAAGTTCTCCCTCTGTCACCTGGTTTCCTCCCGGTCTGTGCCACCTCCATCGAGAGCCCCGAACCCACAGAACCTCACAGCATTCCCAATGAATGCCGGGCGTTCCAGGATGTGTTCAGCAAGCGGGCCGCGACGAAACTACCACCTCATCGGCCATGGGACTGTGCCATAAATGTGCTGCCTGGAGCTCAACTCCCTAAGGGTAGGATATACCCGTTGTCCATCCCGGAGCATGGAGCGATGGAGGAGTACATTAAGGAGGCTCTCCAGCAAGGCTTCATCCGGCCGCATCCCGTTTCTTCTTTGTGGGCAAGAAGGACGGAGGTTTGCGGCCTTGTATTGATTACCGAACTCTCAACTCACAAACAGTGAAGTATCCGTATCCCCTTCCACTGGTGCCGGCAGCCCTAGAGGAACTTTGTGGAGCTCGTATCTTCTCCAAGCTGGATCTGCAAAGCGCCTATAACCTCGTTAGTACCCGCCATGGTGACGAGTGAAAGACCGCCTTCATCACGCCCACCGGACACTATGAATACTGCGTTATGCCGTATGGCCTATCCAACTCACCTTCTGTATTCCAAGGATTCATGAACGAGGTGTTCCGGGAGTTCCTCCATCATTCTGTAATCGTTTACATCGACGACATCCTGACCTGTGCATACTTCTCCCGCAAGCTTTCCCCGGCGGAGCAAAATTATGACATCGGGAACCGCGAGCTTCTCGCCATCAAACTCGCTCTGGAGGAGTGGAGACATTGGCTGGAGGGAGCTCTTCATCCCTTCCAGGTCATCACTGACCATCGGAACTTGGAATATCTTCGGGAGGCCAAACGCCTAAACCCACGTCAGGCACAGTGGGCGCTGTTCTTCACCCGTTTTCAGTTCTCAGTTACCTACCGGCCCGGACCCAAGAACACCAGAGCAGACGCTCTGTCGCGCCTTCCTCAGGCCACGGAACGATTGATAACCCCTGAGACCATTCTCCCTCCAGCCCTCATTGTGAGTCCCATCCAATAGACGCTTGACAAAGAGATCCGTCAAGCCACCCACTCCGAACCAGCTCCGCCGGGAGGTCCAGAAGGGAAGGTCTATGTTCCATCCACTCTCCGTAACACCCTTCTGGACTCACTACACTCTTCTCCGGGCTCTGGACATCCAGGCAGCCAGCAAACCCTCTCGCTCCTCGAGACTCGCTACTGGTGGCCCGCTATGGCGTGAGAAGTCAGGCGCTTTGTCCAAGGATGCTCAGTCTGTGCCATCACCAAATCTCCCTGTCACCTGCCACAAGGCAAGCCGGTACCACTTCCCATACCCCACCGGCCCTGGTCCCACATCTCGACTTCGTTCCGAATCACACACCTGTATCCTCGTAGTTGTCGACCGATTCTCAAAAGGATGTAAACTTCTCCCCCTCAGAAAATTACCCACGGCCATGGAAACCGCAACACAGTTATTCCACCAAGTCTTTCGCAATTTCGGCATCCCGGAGAATATCATCTCTGATCGTGGGCCCCAGTTCATCTCCCGGGTCTGGAGGGCCTTCTTCCATCTCCTTGGCGTATCAGTAAGCATCACCTCCGGATATCACCCACAGTCCAACGGCCAGACTGAGCTCAAGATCCAGGAGATCGGGAGATATCTCCGTAGCTATTGCCACCAGAACCAGAACCGCTGGAGCCTCTACCTTCCCTGGGCCGAGTACGCACAAAACTCCCTTTGACAGCAAACCACCGGCCTCACCCCGTTTCAGTGCGTACTCGGGTACCAACCTCCCCTATTCCCGTGGACGGGAGAACCATCAGACGTTCCAGCAATGGATCACTGGTTCAGAGAGAGCGAGAGGGTCTGGGACTCAGCGCATGTCCATCTCCAGCAGGCAGTTCGGAGACACCAAGCTCAGGCCGATGTTCACCGCCGCCCTACTCCCCGATACCAGCCGGGAGATAGGGTGTGGTTATCCACGCGGGACATTCGTCTCCGACTGCCTTGCCGCAAGCTGAGGGATAGTCCAGTCTCGTCAGGTCCAATCACCTCACACACCCGTTCGCAATCACCGGAGTACTAATCAGCCGCACCTGTCACCACCTCATCAATATTAGCTCAAATACCCAGTCACTGCAGTCACACTTCGTCTGGTCTTGAGTTCACTACGCTACTCCTTACCTGACTCACTAACCCGGACTCCATCCTGATACCTACCTGTCTCTGTGCCATCCTCTTCAGCCCGATCCTAGAAGGAACCCGTCATCACGTGAGCTAGATCCCTGCCATTCCATAGACTGTGGCTCTAACCCGTTTGCTCTCCATCTCTCTCTCTCTCAGCACCTGATAATAAAGATCCCTGTTTACTTTACCTCTCCGTCCTTGGTCTCCTTCTGTACTGTGACAATAGAGAGCTAGAGTTAGATGGTCAAATGAAGATGGAAGAGATGTATTTTAGCCGTTTCAGGACTCAGCTGCTCGAATCGAGTTGGGCAGGTCATTCCACCAGCAGAGAACAGTTAATGTAAAAGTCTGTGAAAGTGATTTTGTGTCTCTTTTGGATGGCACTATAATGCGACGTTCACTTGCAGAACGCAAGCTTACCAACATAGATCAACAGTTCGGTGTTTCCCGAATCCACAGTTGCAACAAAACAGCATCACAAAGTTGTGTGGTTGAGCTACAGCTCTCGCCCTGTGCTTAGAAGAAGAGTTTACTGTTAGTATGACGTGTGGAATTAAATAGATCAAAATAAGCAAGCTAACATGTAGTACATTCTGTATTTTTCATTCCATACATGTACAAATTTTGGTAAAACTTTAGATTTTAGGACCAATTCTCACGGTTTTGAATAAAAAATATTAGCAAACGTTACAATTGGAGACGCCAGATGAGCTTCTTTTACCTCGAGCGCCACGTTTTTAGAAGGGTTAAGCACGTTTACATAGAAAAGCAGAAAGCTGTGCAGAACTGCTACTGTATGTTTGATGTTTGAGGTTTGCATGATGCTGGCAGACTGAAAGCTGCTGCCGTTTTCATTTACTCTTATGTTTTGACCTCTAAATCTGATCGTCTACATTTCAGCTATGGATTATTTAGCATTTTTCTTATTTTATATTATTTTTGAACATTTGTAATGCTCAGTTTGGGTTAGACTGTATTTTACAGTGTCTTTGTTACAGTGTAATTATAAATTCAAGTACTGAGTAATATTAATTAACAACATGTACTTGCTATAGGGTTAGAGTGAGGGTTTGGTTTAGGGCCAGTTGCATGTAATTATGCATAATTTATTGTTATTACTATAGTAAGTACATGTAACGTGTAACAAGGGCACCCTAAAATACAGTGTTACCATCGTTTGTACAATAATCGCCTTCATATTTCATGCATCTTTTCTGCGAAGATATTTAACAAGTTGATTTGTTTTACACCATGCCGATCTTCATGTGTGCTGCACTTGGAACAGAACTTTCTTTAACCAGATGATTAATAAAGAGAATGTTACTTGAATCATGTGGTAGTTACATTGACTAGTTACACGTTACAAAATCAGAACCTTGAATCAGTCAAACATTCTGAAAAGCATCCACCATCTGCTGCTGACGCTGTAAAGGCGGATCAGGTTCATTTGTTGACTGCACTGCACATCAGAAGAGCTTCTGAATTCCCTCCTGCGCTTACAGACCTTCCCGATCAATTCTTCTGCAGATTCTACAAGCTGTTAATCTGTTGCAAATGGCCAACTAAAGATCACACACACTCTCACTCACACACACACAGACTCACTCACACACACACACACACACATACTCACACCTCTGCTCTTACCATATGTCTGCACTCAGACCTACAAGCTGTCGAGGGTCTGAGTGAGTCAATAACTGAGGAATGCTGAAGTGTGTGCTGTCTCTGCTGTGAGGGGTAATTGCGGCCCGAGCAGGGTTGAGTGTGAGCACTTGTGATGTGTGTGAAGCGTGACCCTGTGCTCTTGTGTCTGTAGGGTTGGAGCGGCGCTGGAGCGGCGGTGTGGGTCGCTCCGGTCCTGCTGTGGCTCTGGTTCCGGTTGAAGATCTGCCGGATCTGTGTGTCCTCCGCTTCTCCTGCTGGCTCAGTGTGTAGTGGACCTTCACTGGATCACACTGTTGAGCAGTACATGGAGTGAAAACCATCCGCTCTTGTGATTGTGGAGTTCTGCCGCTGCTGATGTCGAGCTCAGATTGCGAACATGACACCTGTAGTCTGTCACTCTCTGATTGTATTTTTAAATGTGTATGTATTTGTCTTTATATTAAAGGGTTAATTAATCCAAATCATGGTTTTGTCATCATGTACTCTCCTCGATGTCATTCCAACCCTGTCTGACTCTCATGCTTCTCTTTTCCCTTCAGTGAAAGCGTATAGTAGTGATGCACTGAAATTTCAGCAACCAAACATATTTGATCAAAACAGCGCCAAAAAAGGGAGAAAAAAAAAAGTGATTTTCTTTTTTCTCCAGCTGAAGCAGTTTTGGAGATGTCAATGAAATGAAATGCAAACAAAAAATTCACATAATGTCACATTTTCCTCAGGAAAGACATTCAATGTCCAAACTCGTTAGATAGGAAAAAAAATACTTTATAGAGAAGCATTTTGATAAATGCCCTGTATTACATTGGCATTTTTTTCTTTGTTTTATTTAATGTACGTTTAAATAAATCTGTCATGAAATCAAGTTTTTATTACAGCCACCGTTTAAAACAGCTTCTGTCTGGTGCACGTGTGTTCCTCAGGCAGCTTTGCAGGAAGATTTGTGAAGCGTCTCGGAGTCGTTGCCTCAGTTCTTCTGGATTGAGTCAGTCTCAGTTTGTTCTGTTTCTTCATGTACTCGCAGACAGACTGATGATCAGATCAGATCTCTGTGTGGAGCACTGGCTGCTGTCAGACAAAACTCTCACTGCATGATTACAATTAATGGCAAAAGGAATGTTTGGAAATGTAAACTGATATTTCTTGCTGACACATTACAGCAAAAGATAGAAATAACTGACTTAAAAACATTTTGTTGGTGAAAATACTAATAACCTTTAAGATTAAGACTTTTGCACATTAGTGTGTATATATGTGTGTGTGCATTTATATTATATGTAACATACAGTAAATATTATATTTAAATGTATTTATATAATTGTTTTATAGTATATGCATTTTTACATATATTTATAGAGAGAGAGAGAGAATTTACATTTCAAAATTGCATGAACTACTGATGAACACATTAATTGTTATTTGAATTATCACTAGGTTTTTTTTAACCATGTGTTAGTGTCTTTGGAAGACTTTTGTCTTTCAAACACATTAAAATGCACAAATTCACATTATTTCTTATTTACATGCACTGCAGGGAAACTTGGAGAACTTATATGTATATATATATATAGACAGAGATTATGTATATGTGGGTTAATGGGTGTGTGTGTGTGTGAGTGAGAGTGTGTGTGTGTGTGTGAGCGTGTGTGTGTGTGAGTGAGAGTGTGTGTGTGTGTGTGTGTGTGTGTGTGTGTGTGAGTGTGTGTAGTCAGTATTCAGTGGAGTGTGTCGCCCTCTTGTGGCCGCTATTTGGAAATAACACCATAAGCTTGAAGATTCTATATGCAAGTATCAAATATATTCATTTGCATATGTTTGTAAGTTGTAATCGTTTGTTTTGCACCTTAATATGCTGCAGGGGAAGCAGAGCAGCGTCTCTTAATGGTCTCTGTCAGAATGTGCTGCTGGTGTCTTTGTCAGATCACATCCCTGTCGGAAATGACTCCCAACAGCAACTTCGTCTTGTGTAGTCCAGTTTGGAAAAGAAGAAACGGGGCAGAAGAGAAGTAGTTTAATCCGATTAGAGGGCTTAAAGTGTGTTCGCGGGAGAGTGTGGCGCAGATGTGTGCGGTCTGAGGCGATCTTTGCGGCGCAGGAGTCAAATCAATGCTCAGGCCGCACTGAAGCAGGCCCAGATCCAGCTCAAAGCCTACAGGCGTTACGTTACCGTGCGTCAGGAAGATGTCTCTGGAGGAGTACAAGCGGCATTACGCCTCTCTCAACTCAGAGTCTGGATGTGAACCAGTCGGCGGAAGATCATCAATATCTGTAGCTTTCGGCGGAGAAGAGGAGAGACTGCATTACATCCCCATCCCAGTGCTAGGAAAGGGCTCTTTTGGGGAAGCGACTCTGTACCATAGACTGTATAAAAACATGGACGTAGTGTCCGTGACGTCACCCGTAGGGTTCCGAAGATAGTTTTTGAAGCTCAAAAGTGGGTGGAGCCGGCCGTCGCCATCTTGGCAGCGCATCACCGCGCGTCACTCCCGGATAATCGAAGATGGGCAAAGAGGCGGGAGCTGGTTGTTGAAACCACGCCCACCTAGCTCTTTGGTGGTGACAGCAGCGGCAATCCACCTGTCACTCAAGTGGCCACGCCCTTAATTATGCAGAACTTTAAGTCTTAATATAATTTAAACGGGTGAGTTATAAAAAAATTCACCCCCCCTCACAGTTGTCATGAAGGGCTAAATTAGCTATATAGACCAAAATCATTTTTTGAACCAGGCTGTAAACATGTTTTTTTCTGCTGTAATGTTGGGCATTTTAAAATGGGGAGTCTATGGGATTGACCCCCTTTTGCAGCCAGCCTCTAGCGGCCAGTTGATGAATTACAGTTTAAGTCACTTCCTTGTTGGCTTCACGAGAGAGAGCGGGAGGTTGCCGCTCGCTCTGTACAGACGCACTGAGGTGAGCGATCAGGCTCATTATATATTCAAATCAGCCGCAATTATGAGCACACATCACTGTCAGAGGATGGGGACTCTGCTCTGATTGGTGGATTGGGCGCTCCGGCCACGCCCACTGATAACGAGCGGCCAGTTGTTCAAAAAGCTGAATTTGGATCCAGGATCAGGTGGTCCGTCTTACTTTTGCTGGTTTTTCAAAGCAAAATCGGGTTGGATCACAATGATCCAGATACACACTTTTCCAGATGACCAATCTGGATTACTAGTGCTCTGCGGAGCCCCAGATAATGGAAAAAAAGAGATGCTTTTTCATTCTCTCAGAAAATGTTTGCATTGCATTCACACAAGAAACTCTGCGTTCGCTCACAAATAACTTCTGACGTCTTCATCTCTGATGATTGTGCCAATGTAGTTTGCAAACAGTGATTTAAAAAGACTAAATTAAATATAATATTTTTGTTTAATTTTGACATCTGTTTGGGGATTATTTTATGGCACCAAAATCTGTCTACCTGCCTAATGTGTGTGTATGTATATTAGTGGTCGACCGATATCTTGGAAAGCAGGGTGGCCGATATAAAGCCATACAATATTGCTAAAGCATTATACACAAACAAGTAATGACTATATATATATATATATATATATATAATATAACAATATAACAATAAAAATTAATAAAAAAAATAAAATATTAAAGTAAGGTAATTATATATACAGTCGTGGTCAAAATTGTTGGTACCCTTGGTAAATATGAACAAAGAAGCCTTTGAAAATGTATTGTTAAATGCATTGTTTATCATTTTTATTAAATTTTTTATTTAAAAAATTTACAAAACCTTTCAATGAAGAATAAGAATTTAAAATGGGGAGAAAATCTCATTATGAAATAAATGTTTTTTTTCTCTAATACACACTGACCACCTTTTTATCCCTGTGTGCACCAAACCCATCTTGAGTGTTTGCTGCTAAAAAGATAATTTTTTGTTCCATCTGACGACAGATCCAGGTCCCGTTTGAAGATTCAGTCGTGTCCGAAAGCTGGGGTTTGTCTTTAAATGAGAGCATTTTCTTTTCTTGGTTTTTTCTTGAAATTCTCCCAAAACATCATGTGGTGAAGTAGGTGCTGTTTGAAATGTTTTTGATGCTTTCTGACCCCGAAACTCAACTATTTTCTGCAATTCTCCAGCTGTGGTCCTTGAAGAGTCTTTGGCCGCCCAAACGCTCCTCTTTGCCTTGCTTTAAGACAGTTTAGACACACATCCTCTTCCAGCAGATTCGTATCATTTGCTGTTGATTGGAAATTCTTCATTATTGCACTGACGGTGGAAATGGGAATTTTCAATGCTCTTTTCCTACAGCAACGTTTTATTTTGTGAAGCTCAACAATCTTGTTCTGCACATCAGAACTATATTCTTTGGTTTTCTCGTTGTGATGGATGATTAAGGGAATTTGGCCTTTGTGTTCCTCATATTTACACTCATGTGAAACAGGAAGCCATGGCTGGATAATTTCATGTTCCTAGTCACCCTGGTGTGCTAGAAAATTGTAAATATGAATGAGAATATACTTCAGAGATATTTTATTATTTATTTTACACGACTGTGTGTGTGTGTGTGTGTGTGAGAGAGAGAGTGTGTGTGTGTGTGTGAGTGTGTTGAGTGTGAGTGAGTGTGTGTGTGTGTGAGTGTGTGTGTGTGTGTGTGTGATATTCTTAATGTGATATGCATTCTTCAACAGTGAATTTTGCCCAACCTAGTACTCATGTCAAGTCAAGTCACCTTTATTTATATAGAGCTTTTAACAATACAGATTGTGTCAAAGCAGCTTTACAGCATCACAATAGGAAAATAGTGCGTTGATGCAAAAGGACAATAGTAAACACTCAATACAATATAAGAAATGATGAGACTGCTCTGGTGTTTTTCTCCAGTATCAGAGGTGAAGCTCATCAGGAAGGATCTGTCCACTGAAGAATTATACCTACAGGCCTGTCAGCTGGTGGGAGTCGTTCCTGTCAGATACTTCCTCAGAAACCTGGGCTCTGCCACCATTAACCTCAACCATCATGGACTCGGTCCTCTGGGAGCAAAAGCCCTGGCCATCGCTCTAGTGGTAAGACTGGCCGTTTCTGATGTTTCTGATGATCTACAGCTGATGTGCTGATCTCAGACGCTCTGTGTGTGTAGACGGACATGCACACCACAACACTGGAGCTGGCAGACAACTCCCTGTTAGCCAAAGGGGCCAGATATCTCACGGAGATGCTGAGGGCCAATTTCACCATTCACAATCTTGTAAGTCTATCTTACTATTCACCTGTTGTGATAAATTTGTCCACTAGAGGGAAGCAAAATGTTAACTTCTGGTGTCTTCCAGGATCTCTCTGACAATCACCTTCAGTCTGCTGGAGCCGAGTGTGTCGCTAAGATGCTCCTGGAAAACATTTCCATTAAATCCTTAAAACTGTCAGGTATTTCATGC